CGGTGAGGATTTGGTAAAAGATTAGAACAGACCCTTACTTGAAAACTGAATTCCCGTTGGCCTGGCTGTTCACACCATCCCCCAAGTTGCAATTAAACAACAACAGGTTGGGTTAGGGTGGCCCCAGGGGTAGGGCCCTATCAAATTCACAGTCAATTTTGGTCAATTTCACGGTCGTAAGATTTAAAAAAATCGTAACTTTCATGATTTCAGCTATTTAAATCTGAAATGTCACGGTGTTGTAATGAAGGCGCTGCCTTCGGAGATGGGTGGTCAGAAAGCTGCAGCTGCTGGCCAGGAGCCCAGCTCTGGAGGCAGAGCTGCCACCAGCAGCAGCGCAGAAGTAGGGATGGCATAGGAGGGTATTGTCACCCTTACTTCTGTGCTGGGGCCGTGGTCAGCAGCCGTCAGTCTCTGGCTGCCCAGCTCTGAAGGCAGCGCAGAAGTAGGGATGGCATAGTAGGGTGTTGTCACCCTTACTTCTGTGCTGGGGCCGTGGTCAGCAGCCGTCAGTCTCTGGCTGCCCAGCTCTGAAGGCAGCGCAGAAGTAAGGGTGGCAATACTGCGACCCCCCCTAAAATAAACTTGCGACTCCCGGCAACTCCCTTTTGCGTCAGGATCCCCAATTTGAGAAACGCTGGTCTCCCCTGTGAAATTTGGGCAGAAGATAAATATTCAACCTGGAGAAATGCAGCTAATGTACCTAGGGTGTAAAACAAGAATCCCAACCAACTAAATGTAGTTCGTATTGAATAGAATTCAATAGAATTGTGGACCATACAAGAAAGTTTTTTAAAGCGGCAGCAGAGGGGGTCTCAGATTGTAATGTCTAACAATTGGGAATATCCCTTTAAATCCAGGGGTACAGTGGAGTTGAAGAAATTAATCTTCCCCTTCCTTCCTTTCTCAGTCATTGTGGATAGCAGCCATTTCCCCCCGTCAATCAGGCCTGTAACCTAAGACAGTGTTTTCCCCAGGAATTAGGGGGGGATAGGGGGTGTTCGAATTTACAGGGGGTGGGGGTCAGGGCCGATGAGGGGTGAGACCATGAGGGTGAAGGGGGGCTGTATGGCACCATAGTAAAAACTGAAAAATGTTTCATGACCATTTTATTAGATTTAACTCATGTTTTAAAATCATCACACAAATTAAAGTTGGCTACTCAAGCCTTCTATGAAGCACGACATCTACATCCTTCTTGGTTTCTTGTTATAATTTGCGCAACTCTGTTAATGCACTTCTTGAATGCATTTGCGTTCATCTTTGGTGGCTTCTTGTGTGTCCGGTATTTCCATTCCTTCAATTGATATGCTCATTAGTTCATTCACAGGATCAGGCAGAAGGCGACTTCTTTCAGAACACAAAATTCTTTTCCATGATGAAAAAGAACGCTCCACTGTAGCTGTTGTGACTGGGAGTAGCAAGAGATGAATTTCTACTTCTTTCATCCCAGGAAACTTAGCACAAAGATCGGGTCGAGCCACTAGTGATGATAAAAAAGAAGTTGTAGTCAAATCTTCATTCCTTCGTCGTATGATATTCCACTCTGTGTTCAACTTCTCTATTCTGTCCTGAGCACATGGCAGCCCCGTTGCTGGTAGTGCCTCACTCCACTCAACTGTCAATGTTTTGTAAGACAGAGATCTGTAAAAGCTATGTAGAAGTTGAGTAGAATCTAGAAGTCGATGTTGTAGATTTTTAAGAATCAAGTCTGTGTACTTTTTCAGTTGCCTTAACAAACA